TGCTCTGGCAAGTCTTGTGCTTTGTGTGTGTGTGTGTGTGTTTGTATGTGAATCACAGACTCCTTCCCAGCTCACAGAAAGGAGTGAGCAAGATTGCCAGGGCTGGGATAAACAGGCAGGCGTCCCCTGCCTACTTTGCATAGGGGGGAGGGGGGGAGAGCCTGGAGTAGATGGATGGCTGTAATAATATGTGAGAAAGTTGCTGGAGTATTTGGGTGGGGGTGGGGGAGGAGGACGAGGCTCTGGCAAGTCTTGTGCTTTGTGGGTGAGGGTGTGTGTGTGTGTGTGTGTGTGTGTGTGTGTATGTATGCATGTATGTATGTGTATATATGTGTCGTTTGGGTGTGCTCAGAAACAAGAAAACAACCAAGTTCAGAGAGCACCAAGGACCCCTCATGTCAACCCTGAGCTATAAATACTCTCCTTTATCAGTTGAATCAAAGTGTTATTCTTTTCAATATTTCTCAACTTTACTGCTTCCTTCTGGGTTGCATTATCATTATCATATCTTAACTTTATTGCAGTCATTAACCAGAACAAAAGAATTGGCATTCAAATACTCAGAATATCCAAAAGTAAAGTGAGAAATTCAGGATGGTTAAAAAAGTACTTTCAGACAAACATTTTGGCTAAAAAACAATATCAAATCAGAATTTGTTAAAAAGGTTTATCATACTACAGATATAAAACAAGATGAAATTTAAATAAGCAATCTGGATAATATGAACTTGGAATACCACTGTAAAATATGAATATATGCACAAATACATATGCACATTCATATACATTCTCCCTCTCCCTCTCCCTCTCCCTCTCTCTCTCTCTCTCACACACACACTCACACACACACACACACACGTAGCCCGCTTATCCTGGGGCTTCACTTAGCAAGCAGCATATTTGCCCTTCAGAGTATAAACAGTAACATGCCTATTGAAAAGTTTGGGAGAGAGGGAGGGAAGGAGGGCAGTCCCACTCCCCTCCACCAGAGACCCATGGATTCTACCCACCCACACAGGCACCCTGCAACCTGAGTGATGAGCTGGCCACCCCACCCCTCCCACCCCGGCCATTGACTTCGCTTGTCAAAAAGTTGCAAAAGGTAATCAAATGACCCTGGGACACCGTGACCGTCATAAGTATGAATCAGTTGCCAAGCATCTAAATGTAAATCACATGACCCTGGGGATGCTGCAACAGTCATAAGTGTGAAAAATGGTCATAAGTAACTTTTTCAGTGCCGTTGTAACTTCGAACAGTCACTAAGCGAATTGTTGTAAGTCGAGGACTACCTGTACATTATCATTTTTTCCCTCTTTTTTTGGGGGGTCAAGTTTTTGATACCTTGCTGGGCGACTGGTGGTACTCGGATATTGCCTTATCCTAAAAGTGGTACAATGAGTGAAAAGGTTGAAAAGCCCTGGCTTAGAGGTCAATTCCTCCCAAGTAATCCTTTCAGAATAATACTTGAGAAGAAAGTGAGAGCGGAGAACATGCTTTATTGAGAAGTTGATACATTGATAGCATATTCTAAAATATCCAGGAAAACAGTTTTGCTTCTGTACAAGAACAGCCAGCCTCCCTTTGTCACAAGAGCATTACTCCATTTTTTGCAATAATCTAGAAGCTGAGAACAATTGCCAGACAATATTCAGAAATAGAAATCTTGCAGACTGAGAATGGCAATAAAAAGGCAGAACTAAACACAGGAACCAACATATACGAATTGTTATCTAAAAACCCTTGGTGGAAATTGAACAAGTCTGTTTTTCTCAAGATGGGAGACAAAAGGACATTTTTTAAAGAAATATTCAGTTGAAAAGAAGTTGTATATCATGCAGGTGTCTACTATTGACAATTGCATGCTAGGCAGGAGTGAAAGGGATAGTTGTATGGATAACTATCTTCAGGATTTTTCATATATGTCACCAAACATTACCATTAAAACCCACACTCCTCCTTTTGTGGAAACTGCAATTAGAGTGCAGAACACACAAGCTCATTTTTCTGCAGCCCCCAAACAAATAAAACATAACCCAGGATGTAAATGTCCATACTTCAAGCTGGGGTGCGCACAATCACCCGTTAATCTCCATTGTGGCTACTTTGATCTGCTGCATGTAAGTGTACTCCCAGTGCCAGGTTATTCTGTATCTCATTTGGAAAAAGGTTCCCATCTCAAATACTGGGATATTATTGTATAATATCATGCACATCTGTGGCCAAGTGATTGGCCAGTAGAGCAACCCAATGCAGCAGAGACTGCAGAGACACAGCCCAGCAGCTGAGATGTAATTTCACACCAATAATACATGCAAAAGGGAAAGAAGCCTTACAAAGACTATTGGTAGTCCAATTCTTTATGTATACGTTGCCACCTATACAAAACTAAAAACGGCAGATAATAGTGAAGCAGACTAGCCAGAGTTTTCCTTTTTGTAATATAGGAAGATTGAGATTTTAGAAATAGGCAAACTAAAATACTTGTAGCACCTGACTTACAATGGACAAGAGTTTTACTCTTAACAATTTACAAATTTCCATCCATTGGACAAAATGCTCTGATTCCTCTCTTCCATTATTCCCAGCCGTTATAAGTAAGTATTATCTATTACTGATTGAGGATTCCCTTGAATCAAAGTGTATTTAAAAGATGAATACATTCTCGTTTGAAATGGGCATGCTTGCTATGCAACTGATGCTGGAGGTCTATTATAATTGTTTTTGAAGTTTTATTTTCAATTTGTCACAATTTTTAAATGCTGGAGTCATCTTATGATAAACATCTTATCAAATGAGATTAAATGAGATTAAAATTTATCTTTGGGTAACCTTGTATAATAGACTTTATTTTTCATTTGTAAAACAATAAAAATTATTTCAAAAATGCCCATAACTATCCACCTGCCCTCAATGGCTTCTGAGCCAAATCTCAACATTCATTTATGGAGCAGCATAGCTGAAACTGTCAATCTCCCTACAGACTGCTTGAAAAAAGAGTAAGAAAATTATCAGACCAAGACAGTCTCATTGGCAGGGAAAATCTGCAAATTGCCAATGTAGGGCCCAAAAATACAAGCCATCATAAAGACTACATTCAGTCAGCCACAACGAATTTCCTCGAGGCCTGGCACCAGTATATCCAGCAGCTTCACAAATTGAATAATAAATCACAAAACTGCCAAATGTTTATAGCGATGTATTGCAAAGGAATAATTTGGCAAAAAGAGTAGTGCCCCTCACCAGCTGATGAAATGTGTTTCTATATTCCTTGGGCTTCAAGCATAGGAGCCTTAAAACAGCTAATCCAAAATGATGAGCTATACCAAATTAGTAAGACAATGCTATGCCAAGGTTCAAATGTTGATCTTGCAATTTTTTCCCCACCAAGTTAATTTTAATTGACTCTTGAAGTGTATTGGAAGTCACTTCTCCAAAATTACAACAGATTGAGTGATGGCATCTTGTCTTTCCATTTAGGCATGCTATCAAGACCAGGTAATGTGGCATCTTTCCTGCCTGATATCTCCCCCTCAGAGACCTGACTATCCCAGCTACAAAATCCAATTCACAGAGGACTGACTCATTGCTTTTGATACCCTGTATCCAGAATTATAAGACCATTGCTATTCTCAGAAATCAAAGCCAGTTTGGAGCTTCCTTGCCCATCAACTCTTTTGGTGGACTGAAGTGGGAAAAATATTTTGATGAAAATGTTGGAATACACAGGTGTCACGATCAAAAAAGTTTTAGGTTCTGCAAATAAATGTGAGAAATTTGCACATCCAGAAGCAATTCAGGATTCTAGGAAGCGCTGGATCATTTCTTACTTGTACCTTGTCACCATGTGGTTAGGAAATAGTCTCATGGACATATAGACTGTATATACACATGCAGCAGAATGGCAGGGAAATGTAGGATGAATAGAATAGATTGGAGCATTTCAGAACACAGGCACAGCATTGGGTTTTTTTTAGTGCTCTCTTATCTATTAAAAACATGCAAATGAAAGCTAGTATAGAAATGGGACTAATAAGAATATCTGTCCCTAGCCCCACTAGCTTTACTTTGTTTTTAACAGAGAAATTTAAAATTGATCTTTCTACTGCCCTTCTACTACCCCATCAGTAAAATGAAGAAATATGATCCTTTCCATCACATTTGCTATTCCACTATATTGCATAGGTGGACTACATCTCAGAGGGCTAAACAGAAGTTATAAAACTAAAAATGTGAGAACCAATCCAGGTTTTTGTGCTAGGAGCAAATAACTGATGGAGGAGCAACTAAATCTTACTGTACTTTCTTGAGGCCATGTTAATATTGTCCAGAACTCTCATATTTTCAATCTTGCCTCACAGACAAGGTGTCTGGTCGAAAATGTTCTATAAAAAGTAAAACACTGCAGAAATATCTAAAAGGGAAGAGCTGGTAACAAGAGCAATCACATGTCCAAGATCTGGAAGGATGTTTCTAGTGCTGGGAAATGAAAAAGTACCCACAGTGGTGATGATGGCAGCACATAAATGGGATGTTCACACTTCTTGGAAAGACTGGTTATTTAAGTGCCTTTGGGAGGGGTCCATTTCAAACAGCTGGGATCCATGATTTTATTGCTGTTGGATCTTTTGGCCTCTTTGGCTATCCATTCATCAATAAGATCCTGAGAAGAGTAGGGGAAAAAGAAAGGCAGGTTAAAAGCCTGCAGAAGACATAACTATAATTAATATTGCAGGAATTTCAAGCTAAGAAAACTAAAACAGTTCTGTTATTGCCCCTCTCCTTTGGCACAGTGCTCCACCTGAAGTCAGATCAGCACCAATCCTGCTGGTGTTTAAAAAAGCTCTGAAGAAGTAAATGCTGCTTAGTCAAGTGGCCTATATGTATAAATAAACACATGCATGGTTTTATCTCACAAGAACAGTTTAATAGTGCTGCTTTCTTAAGTAAGAACCTCTGTGTGTAAATCCAAAAAAAGTCCTCTGACTGATTAATTTTGAAAGAATCCTAATTTCCTGTATTTTTGCTACAGGTAGAAAATTGATGCCACATTATTTCAGACTTACTATTTTAGAGAGTGAAGCTGTAATAACCTAGTTGCATAAAATAGAAGAAAATACATTAAAGGAAAGCTTTAGAAAACAATGTGTTCACCTGTATTGATTTTGTCATAATTTGTGTTTTCTGTTCCCATGGTCACCACAGATTTGATGAAATGGCCATTTTGTTCGTAAGTCAGAATGCCTTAGACCAGAATGATAACAGCTTTGTTTTATTTAATCAGAACCTAAACATCTATCACCAGGACACTTGTATAACAATTATATATAGTTTTTCAAGAATTTGTTCTGAGCACCAAAACTGAATAGATCTCACAGCTCTTCTACACACAACTTCATTTCTGGTATGTTTATTTTTTTCTTAAGTTCATCAGTATTATGGGGGAAAGAGGGTGCTTTGATTGCTATTATTAGACTCTGTGACTCAGAAACCTGAGCAATTCTTCCAAATCACCCAGAGCTACAAAAATAAAACAACATTTATCTTCTGTTCACTCTTGGTTGAGCCTATGCAAACCAATTAATACTGCAGTCATAAATGTAAACAAAAAATATTGAAGAATTAATATTAACAAACACAATGAGACTTACTTTCTTTTACCACTATTCTGTACCCATAAAGTTATTAACAGGAGTTAATGCCTTTTTAGATAAAATCCAATTTATCTTGGAATTTGGTCTCCAAATATGTGAATTCAAAAGTCAAGGGCAATTCTCATCTTAAGGAAGAATACACACCTTGTCCCAAATGAAACATCCCAGTTTTAGTTGGTACCATCTATATTTCATTTTCTCCATTTGTAATGTCGTGCGTCTCCTATTCATTGTTTTATAATCTTGTTTCCTAACATGTATATATCTTGTTTTTTTAAGCAAACACAATAAATGGAACCAGTACCAATCACAACCATAGGGAGTGAACAGTTTAAGGTATCAAAAGAGAAACAGGGAAACAGGCCACTATGTAAATACTGTTTTCTTCAGCTATCCAAAAATTCTATAAGCCATTGTTTACTTTGCTTTATGTTTACATGGATGGAAAGCTCTTTAGCTCTCCAAGTATTGGACTCCCAACAATATTCAGACAGCTATGGTTCCCAGGAAAACTGAAAAGAGTCTTGCAAGAGACTTCTATGCTCAGATAATGCATAGACTCCTGTTTTCTGATGCAGCATAACTAGGCCAGGAAAGCAATCCCCCCCCCCAAATTCAGAACAGTCAATACCCACAAACATCCCAAACAAAGATGCAAAATTGCAAGGCAAACTCTTACTTGTCTTTTTAGTACCAGGTGTTTGCCTTTCCAGTACTTGAGCATCTGAAGGGCTTGCAGAGTGCTAACAATGTCAACAGGATTGACAGCTGTCTCTTGGCTAATTTCTGGAATAAAGAGATACAAGGGTCTATTATTAATAAAACAAATGTACGGGATGATCTACTGATGCTGTTTCCTGCCCAGTCACATAAAGACTGGAAGCCAGAGGACAAGATCCTGTAGCTTTTTAAAAGAACAGAATATACCATTTTCAGAATTTATAATCTCAAAGCATGCCCTTCAGAAGGGAGGGCAAAAGACTGAATGTGATTTTCTCCAGTCAAGGATTAGCTGCTTTGCATAGCTCTTTGCTCATCCAGATGAGCCACAGAAGCAGAATCAAACGAATTCAGCAGTTATGAGATACCATGTCTTCTCTGGTACTAGAAGACAAAATAGAGAGAGGAATTTTAAGCTGCTGTTGTTTGGAGGTATTTCACATTTTCTCCTCCTATAGGAAGAAAAATAGATTGAAGTAACTGGGCTGGAACTGTTTCAACACATTTGTGTATTAGCATGCATTTATTTATTCTCCATTTAGATTCCAGATTATTTTGGGATTCATTGGATAGGCATAAAAACTAAGGATTAGGAATGGGGAAGAAAGCATCTAGGGGAAAGCAGCAATGAAAGATAAATGAGAGATTATCAGACTTTTTAATCTCTGGACACCTTGACTTATTCCTCAATAGGTTCTTAGGTTTTATTCTTTTTTAAATACCTCCTTTTTTGCAACATGGTAAGAAAGACATTCATGGCAAAAGTAAATTAAGAAAAACTGTTCTGTGTGGCCACAGTGAAGTGAGAGTTAGAACTTAAGGAAAGAAAGTGGAGAAAACTAGAACCCACCTTTGATGGAGATTTCTTTGCCTTGGAAATTATGCAGATAACGGAGAAGAACTTCCTTCCAGTAACTACGGTAGCTGATAAGTCCCAAGTCTGAGAGGGGCCTTTCTGGAGAGCCAACTTTCTCTTCCACTTTGGAGAGTAAATAGCCTGTTTAGAGAGCACACATAAACTTTTGCAATTTGGTCTTAGAGGTATTTTTAGACTACTTCTACCACAGTTCCATAGATGGATCTGTAAGCCCATGATTGGAGAGCTCAAATACTTTGTGGTGACAAACCTCTCCAAAATTCAAATGTCTTGAATTTAGAGCACATATGAAATAAAATGCAGATGCACAAGGCAAATTTTAATCTAGTTCAAAAGGTAACATTGTCTGGGACAAGTTAGCAATCTTCCTGTCTGAAAGTACACCAGACAGTACAGAAATTGCTATCCAATCTATCATGATGGGAATAAATATGGAAGTAATTGCTATACAACGCATTAGGTTGGGAGTAAATATGGAAGACTATTAGAATATTAGATCTGCAGAAATCAGATGCAAGAAGGATGCTCTTTCATTTTATTACAATAAATGCTTGGCAGCAAATTAGAACTCTAATGCAGAACCTGCAGTGGTATATCCCTACTAAAAAAGATAAGCATTCTTTGTAAATATTTTGACACATTAAAATGTTATACCTCAAAACAGCTCTCAATCTCTGATATGATTTGGGATTGACGCAACCTGCCTGACTAGATGTTTTAAACCAAACTTCTCATAGGTTCTAAATGTACTAAGATACTGCTGCTAACATTTCTAAGCAGTTGCTTTAGACCGCCATTACAGGTATCACTGTATAACTTTCTGGGTTATTTATTTATTGCTTTACAAAGTTTAGATTATATTGTATTTCTAGAGCAGGGCTTTTCAACCTTTTCACCCATTGTACCACTTTTAGGATATGGCAATATCCGAGTGCCACCAGTCACCTAGCAAGGTGTCAAAAACTTGATGACTAAAAAAAAAAGGGGGGGGGAGTGATAAAGTACAGGTAGTCCTCGACTTACAACAGTTCGCTTAGTGACTGTTCGAAGTTACAATGGCACTGGAAAAGGTGTCCCCCAAGCCACAGCCGAGCAAGACACCTGCCTGCCCACCCAGCGGCGCTCTTCCTCCTGTCTGAGGTTTTCACTGTTGTGAGCATTTCTGTTGAGGATTGGCAGTGGAGGTGGGGAGGGGGGGTGTTTGGTTTTTATTCCCCTCGTCTGCTAGGTGGTTGCAGCAGGTTTTGGTCACTTCACATGACCCTTGGACACTGTGACCGTCATAAATAAATATGAATCAGTTGCCAAGCATCTGAATGTAAATCACAAGACCCTGGAGATGCTGCAACATTCCAGCTGATCGGCGCTTCTTCTGGGCTCAGCAGAAGCACCAGGATCCGTGCTGCTTTCCAACTGATTGGTGTTTCTTGAGGGCTCAGGAGAAGCACCAGGATCAGTGCCGAGCTCCAGCTGGAGCCTGGCACTGATCCTGGCGCTCTCAGCCCTGACAGCCCTGCAGCTCCAGCCATCTCTCGCTCAGGCTTGTGCAGTGCTGCCACCGGTTCAGCTCATTCCCCTCCCCCACTACCACTTTTCTAGGATGGTCGTGTACCACCTACCAGGTGCCAATGTACCACAGGGGGTACCCGTACCACTGGTTGAAAAGCCCTGTTCTAGAGAACTCTTCAGCATACAAAAGATATGACCTTTAAAAACTAAGAGCTGTCTCAATTTGTTGTTACAGCAAATAATAGTCACTAGCAATTACTTGGGAGGGTGCTGTCATATTTTCTGGTACTTACCAGGGATGTGCAAAACATTTGAGCGTAGAGTGTTCTGAGTTCAAAATGGCAGGAGAAAGTATTAAATATCTATTAATTCCCATTGGTGCTAATGGGAAAAAAAGTATGAACAATAAAAATCGGGGGAATCTAGTAGCACCTTTCAGACCAACAAGCTGTATTAACAGGAATGAGTATGCAACCAACATAGCGGTATTTCATAAAAGCTTATGCCTTTCAATGAATATTTGTTAATTAGAAAAAGTGCTACCACACTCCTCCTAATTTTTAGCTACCGTAGAGTAACACAACATCCTCCCACAATGTCTAATGTGAGCAACTAGATACCTATAGCTTCTATTTTGGCTCAGTAACTCGGGGCTGTTATTTATGTAATCAAAAATCAAGTTTCTCTGCTCAGATCTGATTCACTCTGACATTATTTCCATTTCATCTTATAGATTTTTTTAAAAAAAATTTCAAAAATGTCTTTCAAATCTCACTGGCTTCCTAGTAAGCAAGTAGCATGGGCTGCCACCACTTATTCTTGTTGTGTTGAAAGTGAAAAACAAGGGAACAAGGAACTTGTGGCCAAAATCCTCAAGCCATTTTGAGTCCGTGCAACCAACATGAGAGGTTTAAACAGAGTATTTTAAATGGGCCACTTTTATTCTGAGTTTGAAACAAAAAGGGAGAGTCCACTAGAGAAGCACCAGGTAGGTTAGGAAAGATGCATTAGAGGCGTCATGCTGTTTGGGGTGGGTGCACAAGTGGACGGTGTGAGTGCAGAGACCTGGGGGAGGGTGTGCAGGCAGGGGAGACTTAACCCAGCAACTTGCGGCCTCCCCTGTTGACTTTACGGAATACCAACTGGGAAGATTGCAAACTTAAGCGTGAATGGGCTTAAGGGTCCAGATTATGATTACATGATCACGGGGGTGCTGGGATGGCTGGAACTCCAAGGACCAGTCATAGCTACCATTCATTCAGCATTGTTATAACTTCAAATAGTTAGTTGTAGTATAACTTTAAATGATTGTAGGTCAAGGACTACCTCTATGTTTATTATTAGTTATTACTGGCTAATATTATTATCTACTGTCAACACATATATAAGTAAATATACTTACTGAAATCAATAAGCATTTTGCCATAACCCTGCCTCATGTACTGAGGCATTGTCAGGATGCAAGAAACGTTATAGTTGAGAAATGAGTTCTTCTCCTAAAATTGAACAAAGTAGCATTTCAGGGTAGTATTTCATAAGAATTATGTAAAAATATAGTTAATAACAGACTGGCTCAAATCTGAGCAAAACAATAAACAAATAAATGAAGATATTCCCAGTGAAGCAGGGGCCATTAAGCCTATGATTATGAGATACTCACCTCCATTCTGTCTTGGTATGCCAAATAATGTTTTCTGGAACCTCAGCTTATAGTGAGACAAATCACACTTTTCTTTGTTTGGTTTGAATAACTACTCTCCAAAATATCTTGTCCTTAGTTTCAGATGATTCTGGAGTTCTGAGTATCCAGTTTCTTAATTATTCTGTCCTTACTTTACCAGTGATCCCTTGGCCCCACCTATTTAGCAGCAGTACTTTCACTAATGGGCTGGGTGGCAATAACTTCTCCTATTTTATCACTAGGCCAAGTCTCTAGGAACCACACCTGTAGCCTCTGATCTAAACAGCAGGTATCGGGAGATACATCTCAGGAGAGTAATAGGTTGCCCCAACAATTTAAACTAACATGAGGCTTCCAAAAAACATAGAAACAGAACCAAAAGCATACATTCACATTTGTGTGTATGTGTGTGTGTGTGTGTGTGTGTGTGTGTGTGTGTGTGTGTGTGTGTGTGTAAAAATTGAAAACTAATTTAAGGTAACCATCATGTGCAAAGTAAAATTTAAAAGTTTTGGAATCTTAACAGTCAACTTGCATAATTTTTGTCTTACATAAAATCCAAATCCTGAACATCATTCTGAAAAATGACTTCCCATTTCCAAACAAGGAGAAAATCCAAACTGGCCTGCTTAGATTGCATTCATCAATTCAAAAAAATAATGATTGATAAAGATATTCAGTACATATTAGTTTGCCTTTCCATTTCACACAATTATTTTATTTGTTCCCCAATACTCTTCAATCAACAATCCAGGGATGAAGACTTAGTTGGCATATTTGTTAGACTAGATTATCAAACTCCTTTAAAGGCAACCTGCTACCTTGTTTCCCCAAAAGTAAGATCTACCCCGAAAATAAGCCTAGCTTGATTTTTGGGGGTGGGCTAATAAAAAGCCTTACCCCAAAACTAAGCCTTAATTTTGGGCGAGGCGCACACCTAAAAATCAAGCTAGGGTGGGGGTGGGGGGTGGAGCTGCCCCACGAGTCCTGTACTCATTTACTAGGCCTCCCATGAATCGACATCTGCCTCTCTTCACCAGCCCACTTCTTCTGCGACGTCCCCTGGCCTGCATTTTGTAGTCAGAGGCCTTTCCAGAAGCCCTCTGCAGCTAAAAACCGAGCTATGGATTCACTCTGTAGCTCAGTGCTCGGCTGCAGAGGCCTTCCAGAAACACCTCTGACTGCAAAATGCAGGTCTGAGCTCCATTCTGAGCTGCAGAATGAAGCTGCTCCTTCGGCCGCAGAAGTGGGCTGGCTGGGTGGGGTTGTCGGTGCCGCCACCATAAGGTGAGTGGAAAAGACACCCCCTGAAAATAAGACCTGGTGCCTCTTTTGGATCCCCCCCCCCCAAAAAGACCAGGTCTTATTTTCTGGGAAACATGGTAGATATCTGTTATGTAAAAGATCAGAGGAAAATCTATGAAACTTATGTTCTCAAGGCACTTTTCAAAGGCAATTGGACTTTTTTCCTTGAATATGTTTCCCTTCTCATCCAAGAAACTTCTTCTATTCTGAAGCTCTTTCAGTTCATAACAAGGAAAAAAGTCCTGTTTTCTTTTGAAAAGCATCTTTGGGACAATCATGACCTGGATGATTGAGAATCTTCACAGACGTATGAAATTTATGATAAATCAGCTCTAGATAAACAGACTGAATAAATCAATTCTGTCAGACCAGTTTATCCCAATCTGGTTCTCCTGATGCTTATATGATTGTTACTAATAATTCAATTAATCTAATGGATTTATAGGTTGGTAAAGTTGTAGATTGTTTAAGAAAGCTCAGAAAGTAGCTAGACACTATTAGTTTAGGAAGTAGCTTTAATAAGATTTGTGCTTGTAAACAATCACAAACAGGAGTATATTTGAAGTCCTGACTAGTTAAGAGTTAATGTATAGCCAAAACTGATATTTGTAGCAAAAAAGAATTTGTACGTGTGCTTGTATATGGAATTGAGAGCAACATGTGCATTAAAAAAATAATTGAACTCTGTGATTAAAGCTGGATTTTTTTTGGGGGGGGGGGAATACCATGTTTGCCTAAACTAGAATGTGAAAACCTAGCATTTTTTCCCTAATTATTATTATTAGGCTTTTAATTTGTTTCCAAATCTGGAATTTCTTAAGTATTGTCTAATAGCTGTACATTTTCGTTGATACATTAAAAAGTTCAGACACAGAACAAACTAGTCAGTTTAGAAAAGGTAAAAATCAAGCAATTAACATGTAAAGGCGTAGAGAAGTTTGATTAGTTTTCATGAATCAAAGGATCAAAAGAAGAAAAAACTATTGATAGTATTGAGTGGATAACTTCATATGGTAAAAATATGTATGCTAAGATTTGGATTTTGCTCCACATTTTCTATTTGAGACAGTGGAAGATTTTGTTTTACAACATTATTGTTACTTTCTGTTTTCATGATTAATAGTAGTAGGCAGGCAAAACAATAGACACAAATAAAAAGAAACTACAGCCTTTATAATTTAGCAGTTTTTCATACCATTTGCAATAAACATTAAAAACATTTTCAAGAAAATTTAATCAATATATTTATTGTTGTCAAAATAAATTATGTTTCCATTTTAAATAAATATACTTTCATAAGTAAAGCAAGTTACACATATAGATAGCCCTCGATTTATAACTGCTTAACTACAGTTACGTTCAAAGCTACAAAGGCCTCAAAGAAAGTGACTTATGACCCTTCCTCAAAATTATAACTGTCACATTATCCCCCACAGTCATTTTTGGGTATTTAGCAACTGGCTAACATTTACAACAGTAACATGATCATGATTTGCACCGTTCCCATCCAGCTTCCGACAAGCAAAGTCAATTGGTAAAACTGGACTTACTTAACGACCCTATGAAATGATCATAAAATCAGGTCTGGTGACATGATAATTCACTGACCACATCCCAAGCAATCGAAATTCTGGCCCCAATTGTGATCATAAGTCAAGGACTACCTGCAATAAATTTTATGATGTAATAAAAGTGACTCTACATTTGAAACATTATACACCTCCCTCCCCCTCAATTGTGTCAATAGCCTGGAAATTTCAATCCCTAGCATAAGCAATTTTTTTCCTTTAGCAAGTACTCTACCTCTAACCGTCCTTGTTTCCAAATGTTGAGCTAGGGAAATGTAGGCATCATCACACTGTTTTGATGCACAAAGCCCTACTAGTGGAATAGACCCCATGTAATTATTACTGACCTTGGAAAAATAGCCTATTAGGTGGCATCCTGTGTTATCAGCTTCTGTCATGACATAGAAAAGAAATGGTTCAACATCATAATACAAAGTCTTATGGTCCAAGAAGAGTTTTGCCAGGAGGCACAAATTTTGGCAATATATCTGGAAAAAATCAGAAAGAGAATCAAGATATTAATACTATACAAGATTTATTAACAGGAGGTGATCTACCCTCCCAATACTTATCACACGATAGAGTCCATACAAGCTGAACTAAAAAAAAATCTATGGATAACCAATAGGTAGAGCTTTCTTAGTATTCTAAAGAAGATTGTTGCAGACCAAACAATAGTGACCCCAAATCCCCCCCCCCTGCATTTATTTAATATTTGGTGAGTAGCAGTTTCAAATATCTATTGTCCTAGGATTGTGCTGTAAGGGTAGAAAGCAGCTGCACAGTCCTGAAAGTGGATGATTTAAGGATTTGCACAGGTGTTATGTGAGTGTCCCCAAAGGCCCAGAAGTTCCTTTTTAACTTTGAATAAACAAAAACATGAACCCATATCTGCAATGAATTGGTACAACCCAGGATTGCCAGGTACAACCTTGTTTACCTATCTAATTCTGCTCCAAACCTTTATAAGCAGCTGTATGGAATGACTATGGAGATTCTCAGTCACCCAGGCCATGGATGTCCCAAAGGTACTTTTTCAAGAGGCGACTGGACTTTCTTGTTTTTTCTTTGAAGACATTTCACTTTTCATCCAAGAAGCTTCTTCAGCTCTGACTGCATGGTGGAGAATGGAAGGATTTATGTTCCTTGCAGACAGCCGGTCAAAGAGGCCATCTATGTTAAAACTGAACAGCCCTCTCTCAAGGGGGGGGGGGGGAATACGACATTATCTATCTCCAATCTACAACATAGTCCTTTCAACAATTCCAAAGAGGCTCCACACCCGTTTGCACTACTCAGGCGATTCTGAGGACAAATAAGTCTCTGTCTGTAAGAAACATAAATCCTTGCCTCTTGAAAAAGCACCTTTGGGACCAGCATGGAGTGAGATATTTGAGGGTGATTAGCAACCATGATGAAAAATTTCTAGCAAAGCTACTTGCATGGCCTACAAGTGGCTTACAAAATGTCCAAGCTCTCTTCCTTCCTGAAATCCACTCCATTTACAGTTACCTTGTTCTTTTTCCCATCTACTTCAAATACTGAGACTGAACCTTTACGATAAATTTCATCCCCTGGAGGATGCTTCCAGACACATTTTGCCTATGGAGAGTGATAAACAAGCATTACTGTCATAATTGGTTTTCAAATATACTACTGAGCAGGAAAAATAATTACTTTGGATTCAGAAGCAATGAGGTCTATTCTATTCAGAAAATAGAATGAACCTGGTATTGGCTATAGGCTACTAACCAGTGAGCTCTGATTAAGAATAGGTGAACTGTTTTAAAGTATTTCATCATATGAAACTAATTAAAAGAAAGCATGGGTAGCTACAACTATGTAAATAATATTACATTACATGTAATAAGACAAAAGGTATATCTACATTAAATATCTCTAATACCAATAGCAAATCGTAAATTCAAATCTTTCAGGTTCTGTTCATTCTATAGAAGGCTTCTAATTTATATTACATGGGCCTTTTGAAAAGTGTTTTCTCCCTTCCTTTTAATTAGACAAAACAGGTCTGCTAAGGTTTTTCTACCACAATAAAACTCATTTTATTAGGAGCAGATCATTCTAACAATGTTCATATATACATTTACAGGCAGAGAATACTGTCTGTGCTCAACAAGAATTAAGTTATATGAATTACTATGCTTTTAGGTCCTGGCTCAGAATGAGGAGAATTTGAAAAAAGAAATTACAGAGACCTCTAATAATTGGATTCTAATAATTGATCTTGAAAGACCAAGTTAGAGACAGATTATCATGGAGAAAATCTATATGTCAACACCAACTTTATTGCATAAAATCAATTAGTGACAGCTCTAGGTTCAATTGAATTTAAGATAATGGTAAACAGATAGTGCTTCCAAGCTTGTAAAACTCAACATGTGATTTGGCCTCCCTACCCTCTGTCATAACCATTACAATTTCTGTCCCAGCTATGACTGATAGCCAATGCAACTACTGCATCTATATTGGAAGTCAAATGTAAAGCTGCTTGGAAGGACAAAGGCGTTCTTCTCTAAAGCAATATGGTTGTCCCAATTAAGCACTAGAAAAAAGGGGTAGAATGCACAAACTGGATTCTCTGCTGCTGGAGATGATTATTTAAGATGAGGTCATGGCAACATTCTTCAGAACTGATTTTTCTGCAGCATTTCCCATCTTTTCCCAGAAAATTCACAGGGAAATACAAACTGCATTTTTTACAAGATTAAATTTCCAAAGCAGTAGAAGGCAATAGCATATTCCTTACCATATGCAAAATTATATTTAGACATAAAAAACATAGATTTAGAAAAAATCCATAATAAAACATGATTAAAATAACCCCTTCCTGAAATTAGAGCATATCATCATAGCAAAAAGTAGCTATAAATACAAGAGGAACGAGGGTTAAAGCTATCAGATTTAGACTGCAAAAATCAGGATCACCAGATGACATCAGGGAGATCAGAGCTGCTGCTGTTGTTTGTTTCAAGTATAATGTAATGTATATTAATATACATATTTGTGTTACACATTAATACAAATAATACAATGCAAAATATATCAATAATTTTAAAACTTGTGTTGCTTTTAACATTGTTTTAATCTGGGCTGTCCGCGTGCTTTAATGTTTTATCTGTTTTTAGATTTTTTTTATTTTGTACATTGTCCAGGCTGTATTGGATTTGGCTGCCTATAACAAATTTGAATAAAGAAATAATTTTCCGGGGAGCGGGGCCAGCTGTTAAGCCGACCGGTTGTGTTGGAAGGTTCGCCGGAATATACAACTACTTTGCCAGCCGCTTCAGCTGGCTTTTCGGAGTCGCGGCTCCTCGGAGGGGAGCCGAGAAGGAAGGACGACCTGCAGTGCAATCCAGAAGGCGACTGGAGCGCGACAGCAGGGAAAAGCCTGGCAGAGCAAGCAGGGAAGAAGACGGCCCCTAATGGCCGACATAGAGGCTTGACAGAAGGACAACGTAGGCGGTGAAATAGCTGAACAACAGATGACTGGAACTGGCCGAGAATTGATTCTGACGGAGGAACCGGAGGAAATTGGAAAGGAAGAGTTCTTTGGAAGTTTTCCCCCGGGTAGCACAGGTTAGGAGGATCCCAGGAAAAAAGGGGGGAGTGGTTTTTTTCCATCCCCACCCACCCCCCTGTGAAAGTGGCGAGAAAGGCTTGTTTGGGAAACATTTTTTAAAATTTCCAAAATTGAACTTGGAATGAGATAGAGACGCGCTAGCAGGGAAAGAACAGTGTTAATGAGAAGGGACCGGAGAGCTTTGAGGACTATATGAGATTGAACTGGCAGTAGAAGAGAGAAAAAGAAGGTGATTTGGAAGGACGGGCTGACATCTTGAAAGGACATTTTGAAAGTGACAGCGTACTCTCTATGTGGAGCTGAAGTTAAAAAAAAAAAAAAAAAAGCCAAGAGGGACATCTTGTGGCTGAAACAGGAACCCTTTCTTTTTTCTTTCTTTCTCTCCTTGGAACTTATTGATATTGGATGCATTTTCTTGGAAGTCTTTCTTTCCCTCTCAGTGGGATTATCGATAGACTTTGGATACAAAGGACTGCTTGGAGTAATAGATAAGATCTAACTGTGGCCGTGGTTCAAATTGTTTAGGCTGTGCACTTATATATATTATTGCTATTATAATTAAGAAATAGTGAATTTGTGCCCAGAAATTAATACTTAAAATTATAGATATTTTATCTACTGCCATCAACTACCTATCTTATATTGTTATTTGTACTGGTAATACTGCTGTCATTTTAGGCATAACTAAGCTAAGTAGGTTATTCTATTGATTGAAGTGTGGAATTCAAAATGACGAGTATTCCGAACCTATCCAAGGTAGGGATAGCGAAGAAGGGGGCACAGATTGCCTCAACTACTTCAAATCCATTGAGCCAAAAACCAATTGATGAGCTTCTGCAAAGAGAAAGGTCTAATTCATTTAAAGACCTACAGGTCATATTATAAGCGATGCAGGAGGCCATGGCCAGAAACCATGAAGAACTGAGGAAAGAGATTGGAGAGGTGAGAAACGATACAAGCGATCTCAAAGAACGGATGCAAGTCATGGATGGAAGATTGGAATCATTCCAACAGCAGATGGCAAAGAATGAACAGAAATTACAAAAGATGGAGGAAAGGATGGAAAAGGAAGAAAAAAGAGTAGAAGAAATAAATGAGAAACTAACCAGAGCGAACTAAGAACTAGAAGCAACAGTCATCGCCCTAGAATCTGAAAAAGCTGACCGATACTTACAGTTTCAGAACATAAGAGAGGACAGGGGAGAGGATCTATTGGAAATGATGGCGGATTTACTAGCAAAAGCTCTGGGAATAGGGAAAGAAGAAATGTTGAGTGAAATGGATGAGGTCTATTGGATCCACAAAAACTACGCAAGACGACATAACCTGCCTAAAGAGATTCATGTTAGGTTTGTTAAAAAGTCGATTAGGGAAAGAGATCCTTCACAGAGCGAGAGATGAGCCATTAGAATGCAAGGGGAAACAGCTGATTGTCTTAAAGCAGGTGCCGAAAAGAGTTAGGGATCTACGAAGACCCTACCACTTCTTGACAACGAAACTGACTAGACATAATGTTAACTTTTGATGGTTGATTCCAGAGGGAATACTGATTTCGTGGCAGGACAAGAAGATTAGAATAGACACTCCAGATAAGGCAGAGGAATTTTATAAGCAAAACTTTAGCAGTGAAGAAGAATTAGAGATGTTGAAGAAGTGAGGGAGTCAAGGTTGGCTAGAACAGAAGAGGAAGGACAACAGGGGAAAATGAGAAGAGAGAAGAGAGAGGAAACAGTAAACTATGAAAGGGAACAACAAGAGCTGAGAGAGGAGTCAAAGGAGACTAGAATAACGTAGGGTATAAAAACTAGATATAAGTAGAAATATGATGGGAGAACTCCAAATCCTATCCTTGAATATTAATGGCCCAAACTCTCCTCAAAAAAGGAAAAAAACTTTTAATAATTGATTAGAAGAAATCTAGATGTTATAGTTATTCAAGAGACTCACATTAAGGAACAGCATAGAGAGGTGTTGGAATGCCCTAAACTGGGGAAGATGTTTGCATCTCTATCACAGCACAAAAAAGAGTAGTGATATATATCAGAGAGTCAATCTTAGCCAAGCAAATTTAAAAAGATACAGAAGGCAGGATTTTGATAGTGGAGACGACAATTAACCAAAAACGAACAATATTAGTAGGAATCTATGCCCCAAATGGGGGGCAAGAACAATTCTATAGGAAACTATATAATACATTACAGGCGATAGATTGTGAGAACATCTGTATTATAATAACATCTATTATTGCGATTTTAACGCAATAATAGATAGGAAGCTAGACTATAAAAGCAAGGAAGAAAGGGACCTAGAAGAATATTGCCAAAAGTTTTCTTTAAGATGGTGGATGAATTAGTGATGCGAAAGATATTTGGAGAGAAAGGAACCAAGGGGGAAGCCAATACATGTACTATTCGAGTAGATATAAGACGTGGTCTAGGATAGATATGGTTTGGGTAACGACAGAACTATTGCTGGAAATGGGGGAAGTGGAAATAGAAACGAACCTTTGGGCGGACCATAACCCGGTGAGAATCAGGTGGAATGGGGGGAAAAATTGGTAGATGGACACTAAAAAGAGCGATTATAAAATACAAAGAATTTAAAATAAAGCTGAAGGAACAACTAAAGTTGTTCTTCCAAAAAAATAAAAAGAAGGATACGAACATACAAAGTTTATGGGATACAACGAAGGCATATGTGAGAGGAGTGGCTATAGCTTAAATGGCAAGAGAAAATAAAAAGAAGAAACAAAAGGGGAAAAACTTAGAAGAGGAATTCCAAAGATTAGAAATAGAACTACAACGTAACCCCCAAAATGAAAGCCTGAAACAACAAATGGAAGTGATTAAACATAAGCTGTCCATTCTTGAGAAAGAAGAACTAGCATAACAAATTAAAAGGAGTGGCCAGAATTTCTTTGAGAATGCGAACAAGCCAGGGAGATGGCTATCGTATAAGCTAAAGAAGCAGAGAGAAAGAAGCTGGATTAATAAATTACAGGAAGAAGAGGAAAATATACAACATCAAAGTGAAGAGAAGAAAAAGATAATTCAAAATTACTATATGAAACTATACGATGAGAATAAGTGGGCTACGGATGAAAAAATACTTCAATGTTTTAAAAAAGCTGATCTACCAAAAATCCCAGATGAATCAAAGTGTATGTTGAATGCGGCGATAACAATGACTGAATTAACTGAGGCATTGAAAAAACAGAAGAGCAACAAAGCACCAGGTCCAGATGGACTGTCAGTAGAAATATACAAAGAATTTCAAGATTCATTTGGCAAAATATTACTGGAGACGTTCAATGCAGTCCTAAAGGAAGCAAAAACGCCAGCATCTTGGATAGAAGCAAACATTGTGCTGATCCCAAAAGAAAATTTGAACTTAACAAAAATCAATAATTATAGGCCAATATCGCTTTTAAATTTGGATTACAAAATATTTATGGCAATAATTGCGGGAAGGCTAAAAAGATACCTAAACGAATTTATACACGTAGAACAAAATGGTTTCCTACCACGAAGACAAATTCAAAACAATATGAAGACGATTTTGAATATTCAAAATAGCTCTGATGTTTTTGGATGCACAAAAAGCCTTTGATAATGTAAATTGGAGCTTCATGTTGAGGCAGTTAGGCTATATGGACTTTGGCAGAAATTTTATAAACATATTCAGAGCTATATACGATAAACAAGAGGCGACAGTCATAATCAACGGAGAAGCGACACAAAGCTTCCAAATTAGGAAAGGTACAAGACAAGGGTGTGCGCTCTCGCCGTTAATGTTTATATTAACTCTCGAAGTACTGACTAGAATGATTCGAAAGGAAAGCCAAATTAGAGGTTTAAATATTAAGAAAGAGACCTACAAACTGCAAGCATTCGCGGATTACTTCGTATTTATCTTAGAAGAACCGCTACATTCGGGTACAAGACTGGTGGAAATATTAGAATATGGAGAGGTAGCGGGACTGAAAATCAACAAAGATAAAACGAAAATGATAGTTAAAAATATGACTAGTACACAGAAAATTGACCTGGTGGAGAAAGTAAATATCCAAATAGTGAAGAAAGTTAAATACTTGGGAGTACAGCTAACAGCAAGGTGTATTACAATCAAAGAAGATAACTATGTTAATTTAAACAATCAGATAAAGAAAGATTTAGAAAGATGGAAAAATTTGCAACTCTCCTTTATGGGGAGAATTGCAGCAGTAAAGATGAACATTCTACCTAAATTACTCTTTTTATTTCAGAATGTCCCCATAAAATTAGAGAAAAAATATTTTGTAAATTTGAATAATATTAAAATTTATTTGGCAGGGGAAGAAATCTAGAATCAAATTAAAACTACTACAAGAAGCCAAAGAGAGAGGGGGATTCGGACTACCTGACTGGGAGCTATACTACCAAGCTGCAATACTCACCTGGGTGCGGGATTGGATAAATTTAAAAAATAGAAGGCTATTAACTCTAGAGAGTCATGATTTACAATCTGGATGGCACGCATTTTTGTGGGATGAGAGACATAATGTTCATCAATACTTCCAGAGACACCATATTAGAGCAGCATTACTCAATGTGTGGATTAAAGTTAAACAACAGAACTACCGTATATAGAAACACTGGTATGGCTCTCAATACTGGAAGCGCTAGTGCATCCAAATTTTATGAACTTGGGAAAAGTAGTTACGTACAGAGATAGTCTAAATGAACAAGGGGAACTTAAATCTAGACAAGAATTAAAAGAAAACGGGGTACAATTGGAATGGTGGGCATACCTGCAAGTTCAGTCACGTTATAAGAAAGACAAAAAAGAATGGGGTATACAGAGAAATTTGACAACATTAGATAAAATATTATTAGGAACAGAGGATAAAGCAATCAAAAGAACATATAAATATTTATTGGAATATAAAATGGAAGAGGAGCAGGTAAAAGAAGTGATGATAACATGGGCCCAAAATTTCGGATATAATATTGATTTAGACAAATGGCAAATGTTATGGGAAAGAAATAGAGAGTTAACCTTGGCTACCTCATATAAAGAGAATCAGTACAAAATGTTTTACAGGTGGCATTTCTCCCCAAAAAGATTGGCAAAGATGAGAAAAGATATATCACCACAATGTTGGAAGTGCAACAAAATGTTAGGCACTTATTATATGTGGTGGACTTGTTCCAAAGCCAAAGAATTTTGGCGGCTAATAAAGACTTGGTTGGAGGAAATGTTGGAACTGAAGTAGATTCCAGACCAGAATTGTTTTTACTGGGAATGATAGATGGGAAGTTTAACAAAGGAGAGATATATTTAGTGTTGCATATCATAACAGCAGCAAGGTTGGTGTATGCCCAGAACTGGAAAAATGGAAATTCCCCGGTGGAGAGTGAACTAATTAAAAAAAAATTGATATGTGCAGAGATGGATAGATTATCCTTAGAAATTAAAGACAAGGATGAAACAGAGTATTACGAACTTTGGGATAAGATGTACTATTGGTTAGACTCAAGGAGAAAAAGTCAGAACAGAGAAAGCTCATCTAGAAGAGAGAAAGTGTAGATTTCCAACCTCAAAGTGAGCGTAAGATAGAGATCAGAAATATGAAATAAGAATGGAAATAGAAGTTATGTTATAAATAGACGTAAATATGTATGTAAATATATAAATATGCAAATAGTATAAAATGCAATATGTAAATAGTATAAAAGATCAATGACCAGGAAGATATACGGTATATGGTATATGGTATATGGTATACTATGTATGGCAAAATAACAGCCAGAAAAGTCACACTGTGTTCAACCTGCTTTTAAATATTTACTTAATAAAAATTTAATATTAAATTTTAAAAAAAAGAAATAATTTTCCATTGTACACCTCTAAGTCAAAAACTTACCATGTGTCTACGAAGAATTGTCTGACTCTTCATATACTTGAGGCAGAATTCACACATATAGAGTCGCCCAAGCCGGGCATACTCCTCTGGGTAGGGAGAATGGTACCAGGTATCCAGTTCATAGCGGCCAAAAGCAATTGTTTTGATCATATTACTACCTTCAGTGATTTGGCCCTGAAGTCGCAGCTTTTCCTATTCACAGAAACAATGACTCATTTATTGAAGACGAAAATGGATAAAATTATTTAAGCCACTGTAAAATCTTATAGAAAAGTTTTTTTTCCCAATTCATATTGAATCCAACCTCAGAAAAGCAGTAGTAAGATACTTTCTATGTCACAGCTTATTTTTATATTGTCAATAGATATACAAACTCAACAGGATTCTCCATCTGGTAAAGTATGTCTTTAATCAATGCAGAACTTGCTCCAGTAAATTTTTATTTAATTGAAAGAGGATTGAGGTAATAACTAATAACTAATAATTAACATACATTCCTATCAAACAAAAACAAAATTGTTCTTCAAGTCTCATCAAATTCACTGATAATTATTTCCAAGAAAATAGGAATAAGACTATAGCCAAAATCAGAGTGCCTCCAAAACCAATATTTGCAAAATTTGTATTAAAATGTCTACTGACAGAATTATAACCTTTGTTTTCCTTCCCCATCCTATGGAGAGCTTTGCCCTTGAATCAACTGGCACGCTGCATAAATTATTTACTGAATTAATCATAACTTGCTGGTTTCACACAGCATACTAAGCCTTAAATCTTGATTTACAACTCCCAATATCTAGATTCACAATATTTGCAAATCCAAAAAAAGAACTAAAATATATTTTGGCTCAAAGTTACATGCAAACCAGGTTATTTTTTAAGATAAAAACTGCTTTAAGTTAAATGTGGTGTGCAAGATTAGTGCAGTGCATATTAACCACAGAAGAAAATAACCATTACACAAACAGGCATAGTAATTAAAAAACAGAGCAGCAAAGTTTTTAAATGATTTCTCTATTTTTTTAAAAAAACACCTAAATAGCTTCAAGAAATTGTTTATTTTGAAAGGGGAAAACCACAATCCCAATTCAGTTTTACTTTGATGTTCTATACCATACGTGCACGTTTGTGCAACCCCCCCTGTGAATATAATGAAACAATGCCTAGTTTTTTGCACTATTAACACACAATGAAAGCAGAATTGTTATTCCTAGGCTTCACTGATCATATGCAGTTAAATTTAAGAAGTAAGAGACTATGTGACCGGCTTTGCCCTATTTGGGACTCATTAGATGTAGGTAGCTAATGTTATTCTAAGGAGTTCAAACTCTCTCATGGACCTTTGCACTTCAGATGACTATATACAATCCATTCGTTTTAGGAGATATCCAGGTCCTGCCGCTCAGTAGTTTCAGGTTCATCATATACAGGTACTGTAAAACTGACAAACAAAATAGGAGATACTGCACAACTTTTTGTTTCAAAGCTGTCACAATTTCTCTTTCCTTATGAAGAAAATATGTTCCCAATGTACTTCCAGATAATATTGAAAAAATAGGAAGACAGTGCCTCTGGTTGGCAAAGTGGCATACATCTATTCTTTCTCCCTTTCTCCAAAAGTAGGAAAGAAAAGTATTAGTTAATTATGGTTTATCTAGAATAATAATAGTTAACCTGAACAACTGTGCAGCTGTTTGCAATTAGCCATTGGATATAGGAAATCTAGAAAGTCAAAAACCTTTCTCAAGGCCTAAAGAAAGAAGATGGGTGATGGTTATGAGGAGGATTCTATTTTTCTGATCAACAGAGGTATGAAGCTACTCTATACATCTCTCAACACAAAGCCTTTGTTTCCAAATGGATTGGGGTTAATCCTTCCATTAGGCTAATAAAATACAAAATTTAGTATTCTGAATTTGGAGACAATTCTCTTAAGAATACTGTACACCAGAGATGCTTTTGCTGGAACCAGGGCACATTTTTTAAAACATAAGATGCTTCTTGGTATCTAAAGATTACATAGGTGTAAGCAGCAATGGAAAAAATGGGGGGGGGGAAGAAATCCACAAAACCTTTTAAAACAATCTTCAAGGGGAAAAAATGCCACATCTGAAAATAAACTAAAACTGATGGGTTTATTTCAGCTCAGAGTTGTCTTTCCCAGCTGGTTTCTTAATCTATGTAAGAAAGATGAATCAATTTGTATTTCAGAAAGCTAGAGAGATTTTTTTTTAAAAAAAAATCAATAGTAAATACAATTTGTGATCATCAAGGAGAGCAATTTTGAAATGAATAAGCCTAAGCACTTTTTTTTAGATCAGTGAATTTGATCCATAAATTGGATATGGAGCAATTCATAAAATGCTCTCATTGAAGAATAAAACAATACAAAGATGAATGGCTGGAAGAGTTGTTCTATTTCGCTAAGGTAACTGTCCCAACATCTTATTTTACCTCCCTTACTGCTTTGTAATCCTTTGTTTGTTTTACTGACTACGCTTTTAGGTTATTACACCTATTATACCTATAGTATATATGCATATATAGTATACTATATGTTTTTAGTTAATATGTCTATATATTAATCTAAAATTGTCAAACATCAGAAAATCAAGTCTGGCCAAAATGTTATTTAAATAGGCCAATCATTTATTCTAGCCATCAAGTCAGAAAAGTTCATTGGTATATGAAGTGATTCATTGATTCGTTCATTCTTAATGGCTTTCTATTGCATTTTTAATTTGAAATTAGCTATAACCCTATAAGTTATGATTATATTTTTTAAAATAGCCAAAGAGATTAGTAAAATATCCTGAGAGTAATATTAAGGTATTTAATTTCATTGAAAGTATTAACATTTGAATACATTCTAAATTATTTAGATCCTGTACATGTCTACTTTTGGTGTGTATCCCCAATATATATTAGGCCAAGACCAATCTTTAACCTTCAAAACACTATGAGCACTGCTATGAAGTGTGCAACCTTTTAACTTTGCTTCCTTCCATCAGCTTGGTTTGGTTCTATCCGTTTACAGCAAATTTGCATACACTGCAGTGAATGAAGTATAACTGGCTTATTACTTCACAGCTGGGACATGAAATGAAATGAGCTCTGCCCTACTTACTAGATCTTCAGAAGCTCTTGCTTGCGCTCGTCGGAATAGTTCTAGGTCATATTCACTGGTCAGATTCTCTAAAAGGGGCTCTCTAGTGTTGCCATAGGTTTGTCTGTGCTCCTAAAGCAACAACAGAAGAAATATCTCATAATCACAAAGAAAAAATGTCCCAAGTTTGGGGAAGCAACTCCTGGTAGCCACCTCCTATTTGTTTAGGGGGTGGGCATGGATGGATAAACAGTCAAATAAAAAGTCTAAAAATTGCTTTCAGTGGTATCACTATATTCCCTGTTACTTTTAGAAAACTGAAAGGCTTTATGAAAAACATTCATGTCGAAAAATGTTAATTAAAATGTGCTTTAAAGAAGATTCAACTGGTTGGATAATGGGAAAAAATACAAGGAATGTTGACATGGTTAGTTGAAAAAAGATAGCTACCACATTGCTCGCTCACTCCTTTTCCTGTGCTATAAAAAGACGTGCTATAATCACAAAGCTAGAATTCACATATGGATTCCAAACAATAGGATTAACACAGCACAATGTTCAATGGATCACTATTATCCATTTCAGCCATTGTTATCCATCTCAGAACTTGTTTCAAACAATTCTTCTTTGCGAATCCATGGCATGAAAAGTATTGATTCAGATGCCTTATATTTTAACTCTCATTTTCCTGACTTACCATACACTGGTTAAGCACAATAAAAATACATTTGGAGAGACCAGACTAAAAAGGATTATCTTAACATTTGACTTATTCTCTAAGGAAAAGAAATGAGATTTCTATACCATGTATTTTTCCTTTTGCTCCTTAGTTAAGCTTGCATTCCTTTTCTTTCTCATCTCTGCGACTTTCTCCTTGTATCTCAATTGTCTTTCAGTTGGTGCCTTGTAGGGTGTAAGAAATAAAATACTTGATTAGGAAACAGACAGACAGATCAGTATCTGGCTTCGCCAATATTCCATCGGTTCCCCAGTATTTTATGGCACCTGTTTTATGCATCCACTCTGTTTAGAATCAGAACAGCTTTTTATAATGCACAACTGCATCAAATTATGAGCTGAAAAGATTATACATATGAGCAAGACTTTTGTATGTGCAATGTGTCAATTCTTCAGTAATAAACATACAGTGAGGGGGAAAAAATTCCCCTGCTGAGTTTGTACGTTTGCCCACTGACAAAGAAATGATCAGTCTATAATTGTAATTGTAGATTGTAACAGTGAGAGACAGTATAACAAAAAAATCCAGAAAAACACATATCAAAAAAGTTATAAATTGATTTGCATTTTAATGAGTGAAATAAATATTTGATCCCCTATCAATCAGTAAGATTTCTGGTTCCCAGGTGTCTTTTATACAGGTAACGAGCTGAAATTAGGAGCAGTTTCTTAAAGGAAGTTCTCCTAATCTCAGCTTGTTACCTGTATAAAAGATACCTGTCCACAGAAGCAATCAATCAATCAGATTCCAAACTCTCCACCATGGACAAGACCAAAGTGCTAACCAAGGATGTCAGGGACAGGATTGTTGACCTACACAAGGCTGGAATGGGCTACAAGATTATCGCCAAGCAGCTTGGTGAGAAGGTGACAACAGTTGGTGCGATTATTTGCAAATGAAGAAACACAAAATAACTGTCCCTTGGTCTGGGGCTCCATACAAGGTCTCACCTTGTGGAGTTTTAATGATCATGAGAACAATGAGGAATCAGCCCAGAACTACACGGGAGGATGTTGTCAAAGATCTCAAGGCAGCTGAAACTATAGTCACCAAGAAAACAAATGGTAACACACCTGAAGGACTGAAATCCTGCAGCGCTCACAAGATCCCCCTGCTCAAGAAAGCACATGTACAGACCCGTCTGAAGTTTGCTAATGAACATCTGAATGATTCAGAGGAGAACTGGGTGAAAGTGTTGTGGTCAGATGAGACCAAAATCGAGCTATTTGGCATCAACTCAACTCGCCATATTTGGAGGAGAAGAAATGCTGCCTATGACCCCAAGAACACCATCCCCACCGTCAAACATGGAGGTGGAAACATTATGCTTTGGGAATGTTTTTTTGCTAAGGGGACAGGTCAACTTCACCGCATCAAAGGGACGATGGACGGGGCCATGTACCGTCAAATCTTGGGTGAGAACCTCCTTCCCTCAGCCAGGACATTGAAAATGGGTCATGGATGGGTATTCCAGAATAACAATGGCCTACAACACACAGCCAAGGCAACAAAGAAATGGCTCAAGAAGAAGCACATTAAGGTCCTGTAGTGGCCTAGCCAGTCTCCAGACCTTAATCGCATAGAAAATCTGTGGAGGGAGCTGAAGGTTCGAGCTGCTAAATGTCAGCCTTGAAATCTTAATGACTTGGAGAGGATCTGCAAAGAGGAGTGGGATAAAATCCCTCCTGAGATGTGTGCAACCCTGGGGGCCAACTATAAGAAACGTCTGGCCTCTGTGATTGCCAACAAGGGTTTTGCCACCAAGTACTAAGTCATGTTTTGCAAAGGAGTGAAATACTTATTTCACTCATTAAAATGCAAATCAATTTATAACTTTTTTGAAATATGTTTTTCTGGATTTTTTTGTTGTTATTCTGTCTCTCACTATTAAAATAAACCTACCATTACAATTATAGACTGATCATTTCTTTGTCAGCGGGCAAAGGTACAAAATCAGTAGGGGATCAAATAATTTTTCCCTCACTGTACATAAAACTCTTTTCCCTCTTTCTGAGCAAAAAACATATAAAATACATATGTATAAGCGAACAAAATATATTTTAAAAAATAAAAACTGAATAACTTGAATAAATCTCCAGTGAAGTTCTTTAAGATTTGAACAATACATACAAAATTAGTAGAAATTACCTGATGCCTGGTAGCATGTCTATTGTTGTCATCCTGTCGATGAGAAAGCATCCGGTCTTCCACTTGTTTGTCTCGGCTTTGAGCTCTCACCTTGAAATCCAGACAAATATTATATAAATCCCCTTCCTACATCATGTAATTTAAAGGAAAAATATGAACCTGCCACAGTATGGATCCTGAACCTAGAAATTGGTGGAACCATTTTCATGGGACCACCAAGCCTCAAGTTATGGTTAAAACAACCCATATCTTGATACAATGGATAAAATATACTATCTTTCAGAAGTTGCAATTTGCAAATATGTGTTGAAGCATATTAATTCTTGCTCTGTTCCTGTTACAATTATTACTTTCCACCTGCTTTTCTTCATTACATACATCCTGAAAATAAGTTACCTTGCATTCATCAGCTGAAAGATTATGATACAGAGGACATCCAGATATAGAGAAATGTCGCTCATGTTTTCCTGTCAGGTGTCCTGTTGAAAGCCAAAGAAATATAGTTTATGGCTTACCAGAAAGAACATATAGGAAGTTTGCACAACAAAAAAACCTAATAATTAAAACTCAGATCAGACATCATTCCACTGTACCTAATGAATTGCAGCCAGGGGTGGGACATTTCATGTTAAAATTATAGCTTTCATGAAAACGTCGTCTTTTGGGACGATGAGATAAATCACTCCCTGAATCTTTCATGGACATATCCTTGGCAATACTTTCATCATGTGACATGTTGGGACTAGAAATATCAATATCAGACTCTGAAGAAGGAGCATTCCCAGTTGGAGTGCGGGGTGGGGACTCATCATGGTCAGCTGCATTTTTTGTGTCTGTTGAGAAGAGAGAAGATTAGAACAGTATATACAAAGACGTTGCGAATTTAGAAAATATACAAAGAATAAATGTTTCCTGAGTCATTTTTTTTGTCAGCACTACACTAAAAATGGAACACAGTGCCAGAGATATGTTGTTTCCTTGAGATAATCTGGAGATGAACAAGAAAATCAGTCAACCAAAATTGTTGTAATCAAGAGTGACTTAAAATGGACATCCTCACAATGTTGTTTTTTTTGTCTCTATCTATTTCACACATAATGTGAGATCAAACATCAAAAAGGATGTTAAATATGGTCTAAGCAAAAATATTGCATTTTAATCTAGTATATTACTATTGAAACATTCTACAAAGGAAGTTGACCAAATACTAGCTTATAAATCAATTCTCCATCTCCCATATGATAGCATTTATTAGGAGCACAACCATTCACATGTACAAACCTCTATCAGAAAAATCAACCACTTGCTCTGTTTCAGAACCAGATGAACGCGTTTGTCGCAGAGGATATTTCTTTGGAGTTACAGGAGTAGGCTGCTGCTGACTGCGGGTTATTCTTCGAGTAGAATAAACAGGCTCTTCTATTGCAAATGATGGTGGATTACGAACTGGGCTGGAATCTATGAAGGATTGAAAGGGATTGTTAAAGGAGAAACACAGCATCTCATTTTAGGAAACATCATTGCAGAGCCTGCATTACATATCAACCATATTCGCTGTGGTTCTTACTGTAGTAGACTAACATGGATATTCTTTTAGGATCTATAAAATGGGCAAGATTTAAACAATTTTTAGCTGATAATATCTACTTCCTTGCATTATTGCATATCTAAATTAAATTTAGAGGAAAAAGTAAATCCCAAACAGCTCATAATGTAAATCTTCAGTTCATAATGGTATTGGAATACAGGAGCCTAGAATACAGATTATAAATGGAATACTGTTCCTTATTGTGCTATATTAGTTTGCCCAAATACTTCTTTATCTAAATTTATATCCATTCCAAAATAATATTTATGTTCATTGTTTTGATTACCTGGAATTTTTTTTCCTGAAATGTTGACAACCAACATTCAGTTTAAATAATGATCAAAGATGGTGCAAAGATGGTATGATTCTGAGGATGTTCTGTTATAGATTGTCTTTTTTGTATTTTCCCAAGAAACAGAGCTTGAAACAATTCACAAATAAATTGCCACAGAATAAGTGGGAGCAAAGCCAGAATATGGTTCATTATAATCTCACTTTTATGTCCATAAAGAATAGGTAGAAATTCACTGACATATGATACCCCTCCTCACATTTAGACAAAGCTTAGGAGAAAAGATCTAAACATTGCAAGCATCCTTTCTCCCAAAGCAGAAGTTAAAGACCCAAAATGAAGAATTCTAAAAGATCTAGATATACCTTGAGAACTCTGGCTGAGCCTAGCAGAAGATCGTGTCACACGGGCAGACTGGCGTAATGTACCATCGCTTTCTGAACTGTCTGTATGCTCTGGGTCTGTAGAGAAATCTGAGTCTTCTGTTCCATCTGAACTGCTTCCTGCATTTCTCTGAAAAGCCAACATTTAGTTTTTAATTGTGAGCCACCGAGTTTTGGTTGAAAGATGAATAGCTATAAATATGTTTTAAATAAGTAATTAAACAGCACATAAGACAAATACTTTAATGCAAATGTGTCCCTCAATTTTATTGATGGAGGGGATAATTCTGAGTCAGTTTTGATTCCTTGAACCAATTTCTGCAGTATTCTAGGCAAGGTTTTTTAGAAGTAGTTTGCCACTGGCTCCTTTCTAGCCTTGACAGAGAGGGACTGATCTAAGGTCACTCAGCTGATGTGCCTAAAATGGGATCAAAACTCCCAGTCTCCTGGTTTGGAGTCTGATGACTTAAATACTATACCAAAGTGGGTCTTCTTCAAAAATTAATATGCACAGTTATACATTTAAAATATTCCTTATGTTCCTAAGAGACATTTAGTTCTGACTAAAGCCTAGGTGAATTTCAGAGTTTTCTCTTTATCCTCTTTGTATTCAACCATCCATTAAATTATATAAGACTATAATGATATATCATTAAGAAAGTCCTAAGCCAATTTGTCATAGATATTATATATAAAACTTAGTTCCTCCTAAATCAGACTGGCAGTCAGATAAGCCATCTTATTAAGGGAACATCAATGTACTTTTTTTTTAAACCAACAAGCCCATGATTCCAAAAAAAAAAAAGTCACCCAGGTTCTTACAATGAAATCTCAGTAAAAACATGAAATTAATAGGAAAAGGGCAACTATCAAAATTAGTGGTCCTAAACCTTTATTTATTTTACTATCTTTTAGACTTCTTTTATCCTGCCTTTATTACTTTATAAGTAACTCAGGGAGTGAACATACCTAATACTTCTTCCTCCTCTTTCCTATTTTCCCCACAACAACTTTAGTTTATTATAAGCTCTATGAGACCATATAATGTATTTAAAAAACTAAATAAAAATAAAACAGGTCAAGGTTCAATATAATCATTGTAATCACCAATCACAAACATCCATGCCAAAGTTTCCATCATTAACATCCTGACCCCAGTGTCTGGGGAAAAGACAGCTGTTCATGGCCTTTCAGAAGACTAATAGAGTTGAGGCCGCCCAAATCATGTGGTGGTAGAAGTATATGTGAAGCTGTTTCACTTGGTAGGCACCATGACAGGAAAGGCATGCTTCCTGAGATTCATCAGGAAGATTCTCTGAGGGTACCAGGAGTATACCCAATACACAGAAACCACTGGAGATAGACCAGCAAATAACCTGATCCATACCATCCCATGCTATCAAAAGCTTTAAATATATCAATCAGTACTCTGAACTGTACTTGAAAATCTCTGGGAGACAATGGATCACACAAAGCAAGAATGCTACATGGGTATACCATAATGTGCCTAAACTGCATGTGCTGCTACATTCTAAACAAACTGCAGGATATCCCAATGCACTTCAAAAGCAGCCCCATTTAGAGTATATTGTAATCAACTTTTCCAAAGGCCTAGGCCTAATTTTTTTTTTTGCAATAATATAAAACATTCCCGGGGCAGTGATGCAATGACCAGGGTAGTGATGCAACAACAGACCCACTTTCCTATATTTACAAATTGTCTTAGTTTAATCATAATATACTAAGCAAAAACAACAGCAGTGTTATATATCACACAATGCCATACTTCATGGTTTACAACCTCAGGGACTGAGTTCCTACAATACATAAAGACTAAACAACATACATTAGGTTCAGTGCACTGTGTTAATTTAACAGTCAGGTACCCTCAATATGTTTATACAGTGCGTTTATTCTAATACCTGAGCATAATGACAGGAAACCTGCTTAATATTGCCGAGTTTTGAAAAGATCAGAATGTATCAGAGAGAGAAAAGGGTTACACGTATGCACCTACAGCAGGTGTAATAGGTAATCCAATAGCTTATTTTTTAAAACTTCCATAATTCTTCTGCATCAGAGTTTTTGAATGATTTTATAAGTAATTATCATCTCCCAAATATAGTTTTGACATTATTTATACAATTCAAGTAAGTTACCATACAGAGAGCACATTATTTTTCATTCATTTGATATTACATATACATATATAGAATATTCTATATATAGCTAAAATCTCTTTAAGTACGAATTAACTCTTCACAGACCTGGCAAAGCTAGCAGTATTTTTATGAAAGTTTAAGCCACACTAAATTTGCTAGCCTTAAATTACGGTATCATAACGTTCGTTCTTGTAGGAATAACTACCAAAACCTCCTATTTAATTTGCATGCTCTTCAGTAATAATAAATAAATTTGTTTTTAAAAAGTTGGTTTTATAGCTCATTAAAAATGTTTGGCATGTTAAAAATGCAGTTCCATTATAAACAGATTTAACTTACGAGCAGACTCAACTGAGTTCTAGCAAATATGGAAATATGATTGTAATGATCCAAAAAACAACCCATTGTCCATTTAATCTTGTCTACTATACTTTGATTCATTTCTACCATGTTCCCTCGCCTGCAATCGTTACCAGTACGGGGATTGGACTTTTGTATCACTCTCTTCCCCAATGAGAAACTGAGAAATAGTACCGGGGTGGGATTTCAGGGACGCCGATTCAGAATCCCAGCCAATCAATGCCACCCTCAACATCCACACCCAAAGCACGCAGCCAAGAATGGATACAGGAGAGCCGGAGGAGGAGGGGGGAGGAAAACGCGCCAGTAGAAAATGATAAGGAGATCAACCAATGATGGTACAGATGCGAGCCAATTAGGAACGAAAGGAGGTGGGCTACAACAGTCATCGAACGGGTGGAGGGAAACAAATAACCGTTGAGGGAAGGGATTGTGCTTGACTGATGGCGAAGGTGGCCATTGAAGATGCGGCGGGAGGTAGGACTAGCCAATCGTATCGCGAGATGAAACAGGGGCTTGAAGGCCTACGTTTTTAACTGGTTTTCGAGCCCGACGGTCTTAAATAGATTAAAAGGAAAGAGAGGAAAGGGAGGTTGGTTCGGTTTGCACTTGCTCACCTTTCTGCGCGACATCCTCGATGGAGGCGGCGGCGGCGGAGGCAGCGAAGGTGGCTGCGCCCCGGCCGCCGCGTTGGCTACGGATGAATCCGTGGTGACTGGCGTGTCTCCGGTTCTCCAGCGCTAGTCGCGCCGTCTTATTTTCCCTTTGCTGTAAGATGTTGCCGTTGAGACGACTCCTTTCACTCTTCCGCCGGGACACAAGACGGGGATACACACACCCCCCGTCTTGCCTGTCACGTGACGCAGGGAACTCTCACCTCACGCCAACGGCCCTCCGCCATCTTAGAATCGGGTAGAGCACCTCGCGAATGTTTAAGCCGGTGAAGTATAATGGCCATTTTTACTGTGGGCTACAGCCCTATCTCCGAATAGGGAAGGCGGCCATTTTTTCGTTGGGCAACTGATCGTCTGCCATTGGAATCGCTGGTTCACTCTGGCTACTGCCGTAAGGTGTTTCTCATTGACGTCTTGATTCACCATCTTTGTTTTGGAACTTGGCGGGCTTTTGTAATCAAAAGAGGCGTTCTATAAGCGAGCGAGCGGCAGTCTATCGCTTATACTGAAAGACTACATTATTTTATTCTAATAGGAAAATTGTTTCGTTAGAGAAAATTTAAATTATCTATGAACCAAAGTTACCTGTTCACAGTACTGTAGGTCAGATCAATGAAGAACAGCTTATTTCTGTTTGCCTTGACTTGCTCAATAACATTATTTTTTAAAAAAAGACAATAAGTATTTAAAGAATTGCCAGTGGCTTTTGCCTTTCTGAGAAAATATTACTTTTTAGCTTGCTCTTAAGAGACCCTTCATCTGTTACAATAGATTCTGGACTCTAGAGTATCTCATTTTATATTGCCTTACTGATTAAAAGCAATGGATAAGAGTACCCCACTTCCCGAAGTTTTTTGTTCTTTTGAAGGTTAATAAATGTATGGCATCTTCCAAGTATCATCTAACAACATCATCTGTAAATTTGGTAATTAAGCCAATTTAACAAAAATCTTGCTGTGTTTATTGGTATTTGCACAGTGGTTAGACTGTAGTACTGCAGGCTAACTCACTGTCAACAGCCAGGTTAAACAGGACTCATTTAAAAACATCTAGATATAGATATATCTTTTCTTGGACCCACAAGTATTTCTCAGATTTAAAAAAGATATATTCCCCCCCAAAAAAGATATCAGAATGACAAAAATGACAATTTTGGATTGGTAAAAACTATTATCTGTTGCCCCAATAACTTTCATGTTTATTAAGAAGCATAATGGAGGTCTTTGACAATTTCATACAATATGGGACATTCCCCCAAGACCTACAGTGAAGAATTAAAATAACTTGAGATGTTTCATAAATCCAATGTATATGCTGCATTGTAAGCACACATTTCAGAATGAACAGCAACCAAGAATATTTAAACCTTGAAATGTAGTATATTGTACTTGCACATCAAGTTTAAGAATCTTGTGACAAAATTGGTGTTCATTCATCTAATTTATTGGAGGACTTTTTAATTTTAAAATATGGATATCACCATCGTATACCTACTCCTAATGAATTTCACATTATTAGAATTTTTAAGAAGTCTTGCCTAAAGTACACTTTTTTCAGTCTTAATAGTGTTTGATCAAAAATAAAGTCTCAAATCTTATTTAATCTGATTCAGCTGGGTGGGACTCTTAAAACTGATGCCAATGGTTTTTTCTTGTTCAATCATAATTTTAATCTCTTTCACTGAACCATAGAGGTAGATGAAAAAGTTTGCTGTAAAAAATACATTGGCAGCACTTGGGGTAAACTCAGACTGTGATAAACTTCAGTTCTTAATCTTGAGACTATACAGTTAGTCTTTGACTTGCAACAGTTCATTTATTGACTATTCGAATGGCACTAAAAAAGTGACATGACCATTTTTCACATAATCATTGTAGCATCACCATAGTCATATGATCAAAATTCAGACACTTGGCAGCTGACTCATATTTATGACAGTTGCAGTGTCCCAGGGTCATGTGATCACCTTTTGTAACCTGGCAAGCAAAGTCAATGGGGAAACCAGATTCATTTAACAATTTTGTTACTAATTTAACAATTTCAGTGATTAACTTAGCAACAGTGGCAAGAAAGGTCATAAAATGGGGCAAAACTCAATAAATGTCCAATTTAGCAACAGAAATTTTGGGCTTAATTGAGATCGTAAGTCGAGGACTACTTATATACTACTATTCAAAATATAACAGTAACTAAAGTTCAGCACCATTATATGATTCACTTTATAATCTGTTCTACCTAATCATCAAAACTAGAGATCATAAAACTTCATTTTTTTCTGTTTTACACAAAAATCCATAAAGGGTTCCAATCAGCAATAAAAGTAGATATTATCTTTTCTCTAATCAAAAAATCATTTGGGGGAAGATATGATGAACTGAAGATGGCTTTGTTAAAGGCAGAGCTGATAACTAAGCAGAATTAACGGTTGGCAAGTAGAGTGGTTCTTTGTAATTCCTATGGATAAGGAGAGAACTTGAGATTGCCCACAGAGTTGCTCCTTGGGAAGAGACCACAAGACTTCGATGTCTGGTTGATTTAGAGCAGTGGTTCTCAACCTTTTTAATGCCGCGACCCCAACCGGTCGTAAGTCGAGGACTAAACCACTCGTAAGTCAAGGACTAAACCGGTCATAAGTCGAGGACTACCAAACCGGTCGTAAGTTGAGGACTTTCCCTGCCCAGGAGCGCCGCACATGCGTGGTTCCGCCCCCTGCGCCGGCCGAGGTGTAGCTGGCAAGCGGCAGAGACGGAGCAGGCCGACCACCAGCTGGCCCAGCTCAAGGGAGGTAAGGCACCCGCCGGAAAAGGGGGGAAAAAATGGCGGACAAAAAAATGGCGGACAGCCTTGCTTGGCGACCCCCGTGAAATGGTCGATCGACCCCAAATGGGGTCCCGACCCACAGGTTGAGAACCACTGATTTAGAGCTCTGGGAGATGATGGAATAGCCATCTTGCTCAAACCACAGTTGGTATCTTCAAGGACACTGGGTTACATTCTTTTCTAAACATTTTTGGAAATTGCTTATTAACTACTTTTTTTAGCTATTAAGAATCTGTGGATTGACAATCCAAAGATCGGAAAGTACTGGGTGAGTTTCCTTCAATCCTTAGCAAAAGAAATTTTAAATACAGGTTTAAGCCCTTTTTTTGTAATAAACAGCAAAACGGTGAGTAAAACTTTGATTTTAGAAAGTTACAATTGGGCTGAGGGCCCAGATAGATTTGAAATGACTTTGAAATAATTATAAGAATCTTTTCTATGGGAAAACGCTTTCATTTTGAATTCTTTTTTGAAAAAAAATAGCAGGATAGGACAAGACTTTGAAGGTTGGACATTAGAACCAGAAGGAACTAAAAATTACAAGTAAAAGAGAACACTCAAACTCAACTTCCAAATATAGAATGAACTAAAATATTTTAACATTGGACATACTGAGGGATATTTGAACAATGGACCCAGAAGTTAATTTTAAGAGTGTTTGCCTCTAAAGGTAGACTGTATTCAAAACACATTACGGAAGAGGAACGAGTTTTATATTGAGACTGATCTGAAAGTTGATTTAAAAATGACAGGCTATAAGAATCATATTGAAAAAGATGCTACACTAGACATGAAAAGAAACTAGCCGATGACTTAATAATTAAAAGGGATATACTAATAACCAATAATTTTCTTATATTAGATTTAGAAAAAAAGGCTTGTTAAAACTTTGAAGAATTTTGTAAGAAGGAACAAAGAAACCACAAACAGAAATCAAGTTGCAGGACATTATTTGAAGGGACTAAAGATTAAAGTTGTTAGAAGTAAAAAGGAATATAAAGTTGGTTAAAATAGTTTTATGTTGCTATGTACTGTAACCCTTAATAGATTTTTGCTGATCAAGACTGAAATAACAATGCCTGAAAGATTTGTTTATAGATGGGAAGAAGAGATCATTTGCTTTATTTTAGGATAAGGTGATAAATTACTATAATACTCTTTATATTTGTAATGAAGAAAGAAGATATTTCTTTATGTATTTATTTTCTTTTTCTCTACCAAATTCTTATTTTTTCTTTTCTATTTTTTTTTGTCATTTTGTCTCCCCTTTTACAGGTTCTTTATATACTAATTAGGTTGAATAGATGACTCAGCTGTCTTCAAGAAGCAATCCAATGAACTGAAGCAAATAGAAATGATAAGACAAGTTACAAGCCTAATTCACAGATTAAAAATAAAACCTCTAGGTTCACTAGCATTTATTATAGCAGATTTTAAAATGCTAACCTCTGTTGAATGATGAATGCTGCCAACCATGGCCTTTGAATAAATCCCTAATTTGTTTTGTTGATAATTTTCTCCTATCCAAAAAGTTAGGTTTTTTATGGAAACTCAAAAGTAGGAATACTGTGAAATATTACAGGTAGTCCTATTTATATTACATTATATATATATTATTATATTATAATATATATTATATTATATTACAGGTAGTCCTGACCAAAATTGAGCCCAAAATTGAGCCCAAAATTTCTGTTGCTAAGCAAGACATTTGTTAAGTGAATTTCCCCATTATATGACCTTTGTTGCCACAATTGTTAAGTGAATCACTTCAGTTGCAAAATTAGTAACATAGTTGTAAAGTGAATTTTTCTTTCCCATTGACTTTGCTTGTCAGAAGTGTGCAAAAGGTCATCTATAATAAATGCATACCAATTGCCAAGTGTCTGTATACTGATCACAGACCATGGGCATGCTGCAACAGTTGATCACAGGACCCTGGGACACTGCAACCATCATAAATATGAGTCAGTTACCCAGTATCTGAATTTTGATCACTTGGTCACAGAGATGCTGCAATGGTTGTAAGTGTGAAAAATAGTCTGAAGTCACTTTTTCAGTGCCATTGTAACTTCGAACAGTCACTAAATGAACTGTTGTAAGTCAAGGACTACTGGAAATGCTGGACATCTTGATTGTAA